TGAACTCTGGGCCCATCGCCTTACCTAATACTCCTCCTCCTCAAAGCACACGATAGTGAGGTCATAGCTAGAGGCCTGGGTGGGGTGATAGGGAATGTGCATGTGGGACCGGCGCAGTAATTGTTCTAACCCAGGGGTCTGCAACCTTTATAATCAAAAGAGCGGTTTTTACACCTTCATTCACTAAATTTAATGTGTCCAGAGCCGCAACAACCTGCTACATCTGTTATCAACTGGTGGCTCATGGGCCACTTTAAGTTTGTTGGAGGAGACTTTTGTGGCCAGTAGGGGAAACATTATAAAGTAGGGATGCACCGATCCATTTTTTTTTTTTACTTCCGATCCGATCCGATACCTAAATCTAAATATCGGCCGAAACCGATCCAGTTCCAATATCATGATCATCATTGATTTTATATGAGGCTGTAATAATCTGCTCTCAAGTACAATTTGTACAAATATATGCATGCATGTCCAAAAAGGCAACTTGAGGTAAGTTTTATTAATGTTGGATAAGTTTTAAAGTTAGAATTAAATTCTAACACAAAACATGTTTCTTTTTATTCCTAGTTTTAAAGTGGATATTAAAGTGATTAATTTAAGTGATTGTTTAAAGTTATTTTATTTATTTATTTTAAATAAGGGGCAGATATAAGAATTATTTTTCTTCTTTCTGCACTCTTTTCATTCAATGTTTTCTTTTTGACGATTTTTTTTTTGTTTTTTGTTTTTTTCAATAAATGAATAAATTAATTAAAATAAAATAAAATGTTAAATGGCTTCAAACATCTGTTAAGTTCATGGCATAAACCAACAGACATGTTCCTGTTTTTAGTATTTGACATCACTTTATAATGTAGTTGTTTATGTTTTTAATATAATTTTCAAATCATGTTTTTTTTATGATTGTCTACTGTTGTACTGATAAATATCTCCTGGAGGTAAACTATACTTTAGTTGCAAATATCAAGCTGTGAAATCCTTCGTTTTCTACAAGTGATAGTGGTTGGTCATTAATTACGATGAAGTTTATCAACTTCTCTGTAAACATTTGAGCTCCGTGGTTTTAGCGACGTCTTCTTCTTGTTCAGTCCGAAACGATACTGGATCGGCTCGGCCCCATCCCTATTATAAAGCTAAAAAATATCTAATGATTTTTAACATTTATTGATATTATTACAATTTAAGACAAATGAAAAGACCAGATTATTGTATAGAGGTGGGGAAAGTTTTATAAATTAAAAACAAAACAAACTATGAGCTATGCAGACCTATGTATTTTTTTATTTTTGAAAAAAATAATCAAGTATAGAAATAAAGTAAAAAGCTAAAGTGAGTATTTGCCAAAAAAAAAGACATGAAAACAGCTAAAACTAGTCCTTTTTTGTTTGTATAACAAATTGCTTGATTCTTGATGGCAATTGTGTTACACCATTCTTCAACTGAGGGAGCTCTCTGAACCCCTCGATCTCCATGTCCGACTGCAAGTCATGATCTTTTAACCATGTCTCCATCAGTACCAAGACACAAACACATTTGGACTCCACTAGATACCTCACATTTGCCTGAATGTCTTTCGGATGAAAGACGAAACGTTTCTACTTTTTTTTTTTGAATGTCCAGAGGACCAGACTTAACTTTTTTTAGATTTTTCTACCTGGATTATTGAGCACGCATCAGGATATTTGCCTGAAGTTTTTAATTTTTCCACAAAGGGACTGGACATTGGCCAACATGACCGTGGATTGGAAAGCGGCATCCGTGGATGGCCCTGCGGCTTCAGCTGACTCCCAATGACACATACTCCCTGTACTCTCAGCCTCAGATCAGAAGAAGAAATGGACCAAATTAAAGTGAACTTGGAATATAGGTTTTACAACTCGCGTGCTAACTTACTCTCATTTGAGTTCCCCAAGTTTCTTCTTCAGTCAGATTTGTGTAGTTCCTTCTCTATGGCCACACAATTTAAAAAGGATGCATGATTTTAAGATCTAATCAACAGCAATGGCTAAGTTTACCTGAGGTGGTCAGAATGCATATGGCTGATGTAGATGAGGTCTGCTGTACAGAGTCTATCCAGGCAATCTGCTGGAGGCTCATGGAGAAGCCACCAGCCTCTGGCAAAAGCAGGACCCTTCAGCCAAGGGTCAAACAGGAACCGTTTCTGTCCAAGCTGCAGCTCCATGCAGGCATGGGTGAGGTATGTTATCTGAAAGAGAAGTTTAAGTTTAACCGGTAAACGTTTTGTTAAAACTATATTTTCTCTAAATGGTTCTAAAAGGATCCAGCAGAGAAAATCATAACATGGTTGCTACATAATTTGGTTAGTTGTATCTTTGCCAAGTCATACCTTTGGGTATACATTGGTGCTGAAGAGCTATAGGGGAGGAGCGCTATACAAGGTGAGGAGTATGACTTGGCTGAAGTACAAAATAACCAAAAACTAATAATTCTGGCTTTCAGTAAATATTCCAGCTTTCTGTGTCGCATTATTAGTTTGTTTTCAAAGTACAAAAGGAATAGACTGACTTTCACTTCTCCTTCATGAAGCTCCAGAGGCTCTCTAGGATCAGTCAGCCAGGGGTCAACTGGGTTCAGCTCCAGCAGCCGAAGGCCCCCATCCTCCAGGGTTTCGATTTCTGTGTGCAGGATAAAAGGTGCTCAGGCTTAACGAACCCAAATAATTACTCTAAAGTTGTTTTGGGTTCAAATGGATCATTTAGTCATTTGCGTTTCAGAATATTTCACTTAAACATGGGCTTGTTATTGGTTTCAATAATCCGTCGGAATCATCATGTTTGGCGATAATAGTGGAACCCAAACGCGAAACCAAAAATTCAGAAGACTTCAAGGTAAAATAGCAAACCTACCATAATTTTTTTAATCAAAAAACAAAACAAAACAAGGGGTGATGTGGCAGCAAAAATACTCACGAGGGAAAAAGTAGTACATTTGAAAGGTAATAAACATGAATGGCTTGTGAAGCGAAATGCACTGACAAGGAGCTAACAAAATGACACTGACTTTAAAAAGACATTAATGACACATAATGACAAACACATACCAATAAGACCTGGGGAAAGATGAGGTGAGAGTGCTACGGACAGGAGCTGAATTACATGAGGGGTTAAACACAGAGGAAGCTGGAAACACGAGTAAAACACAATCACAGAAAACTAAAAATGACACAAGACAAGAACTTCATATCCACCAGAAGTTTCCATCATACTGTTCTTCCAATTTGAATGTATTTTGATTAAATAACCAAAACGGTGGGAATTTTTTATTGCTCACCTCTATTTAAATTACCGCCGTATTTTCCGGCGTATAAGTCGCTCCAGAGTATAAATCACGTCAGTCAAAAAAAGCATTATGAAAAGGGAAAAAAAACCCACATATAAATCCCATTTATTATGCGTCACCGCTGACTCGTCACGTTTATCATGCATTTATGAATATGGGAAATAAAAGTCGCATGACTGACAAATCTATGCAAAAAACTGCGATTTATATGCCGGAAAACATGGTAATCTCAGATTAGCACCTCTTTTGTTTCCTTTTATGGATTTTATACTACTACTACAGTATACTTAAAATATATTACCATTAATTAACATTGTGATAATATTAATCAGGTCTCTCTTGTAAATGAGTCCTCGAGGCTCAATGGGATTTACCTGTCTAAATAAAGGTTGAATGGATTAAGGCAGCAGTTGTAGTTGTGGTAGAACTTGTGCTGTGTGGCGAAAGCAAATGTGTATTAATAAAAAAAATGGTTTGCAAACTCAATCATCCAGGTAGATAATAGATTTGCTGTAGTATTGTTGACAGTTCAATAAAGTTTAAAAACAAGTTTTTATCTGTAGATCAGGGCGATTCAACTAAACTGCTCGGGGGGCCACAGTAACTGAAAGCCAGCAGCTCAGGGGCCGGACAGCCAGCAATTCAAGTCATTATGTAAATAAACCAATTTTTACAATGATCTTGTTAAATTGTTTATTTTACTGCATTGAATCATAAAGGCAATAAACAGAACCTAAAAGTGTAACTAAGGAATTACATTTCAAGATTTACTTCCTTGCAACAAAAGTAGTGATACTCTGTGAAACAATATTAAAAAACAAAAATGACACACTAGGCTGCTCATTTAACACAAATATTATTCTGCCATCTCTGATTCGCCAAATCTTTACGCTTTTCAAAATAAAATAAAAAAGTTGACTGTTTTTGATCTACAAAGTGATCTGAATGACTGATGTTGGTGTTCCATGCAAATCCATTAACCAGTGGAACCAGTTCTTATTTATATTAAAATGACTGCTCAGACCTTTTCCTCCTCAAACGTTTCATAATTAGGAGAAGTGTCCCCGCCCTGCTCAGATGTGACCTTTGAGTGGATCCAAGAGGCGGAGCAGAACTCAGCTGGACTGAAAGTGAGCGCGATGTGTGTCGAATGTCTTCTTCATGTCATTTATGTCATGTAATAAATGAACTCATTCAATCCATCCTATTTGTATTTAACTGTTTTTTTTAACTAACTACAAAGCTGCTGTGCATCATCATCAAAGAGCACACCCTAACGAGAGCATGCAGCCTTACGACTCGTGTTTTTGCTAATTTAATTCTTTTAATTAAACATTACTAACCACAAAACACAGATATTTGTAGCCCCAGATTAAAGCCAAGTTGTGTCTCTGTTTAGCTTTATTTCATTTTCCCCAAACTCAGAAAGTTCTGTCTGTAAGAGAGTACCAGAGGGACTGTGTGAGATGCAAAGTGATGGAGATGTGAACGATCACAGATGTTTTTCACTTATTAATGTCAGATGTATATGAACCATGTGTGGTGTTAGAGCTGTTTTGTCTGGACAGAGTGGAGCTGCAGAAGCATGGAGCCTTTCACCTGATAAACCTACAGTACTCTGGAGAGCAGGTCTGACCTCGCCTCTGTCTGATAACATTATAAAAAGACACTTCTTTATGCTCTCTTTGAGCAGGCTTGGAGATGAAGCGACATGTAAACATCTTGCCTGATTGTATTTCAATGCTGTTCCATCTTCAAGAATAAATCCTGAGTTAAGAAAGAAAGCATTTCCTTCCTGCGTGGTTTATTTATTTAATCAGCAAATGGGATAATTAAAAGCAAAGCATGCTGGGTAGCCTTGTGGAAATTATATGTGCAATGTTTCTGTTGACAAAGTTTCTGTGGGTGGGAATGGGTTGTTCTTGTTAATGTCCTGTTCATGTTTGCTTTTTCATTTATTTCATTTATAGGTTTAATCCGCCTGTGGGTCGGAAGTGGGTGGCGAGCTGCCTGTTGAATAGCCCAACTATTCTGGTCTGTACCTGCCGTCAGCACCTGCTAGAGTATTTGGTAGGATAATAAATGTTTTTTGCTCTAATCAAGGCAGTTATTGCCTTATCTGTTGGATGAAGTTATAAACTACATGAAGGTTTTGCTGTAGTTAAGAAACTGGCATCTGCAGCACAAGTGCAAGTATATAATTTGTTATTGTTGGCATTTTAAGATTAGTCAGATGCATAGGCATTGCAACAATTATATGTGATGGGGACGTGTGTTCCCCACATTTTAAAAATATTAATTTGGAACCCCCCCCCCCCCCCCCCATTTACCATGAAATATTAGTTCACCCAGCGCCGTTTATGTTTCTTCGTGAATGAATCCATTCCACTTGAGTTACAGGAGAATACTCAAACCACTAAAAGTCCACTCCAGGATTTCCTGGTTCCAGACAACAACTCACCACCACCTACACCGTTTTCCCGAGGTCATCTGTCTTGGCAAGGTGCTCACGGGGGGAGAAGTTGGAGACACCTGTTTTGTGTGCTAGCTTAGCACCACGTTTGTGCTGACACTTGATGACGGGGTGGGGTTTAGGATGCGTGAGAGAAGCGGAGCGCTACGTCTGTAGCATTTTAGCTAATGCATCTGTATTGTGCACCACTAGCTTAGCGCTACGTTAGTTTAGGCAGCTTTCGATGTGGCAGAGGGTGGGGTGGGGGGGCTAGGATGCTTGAGAGAAGCGGAGCATGCTTTAGTCACACAAGGAGAACTGTTGGTCAGGCTACTTCTTGTTGCTTTCTAAATAGTCTTTGAATCGACTGTTTGCATATGTAGGTAAACGTAGATGTTTAATAACCTGTTAAAATACACCAGAATACAAGAAATGTCATCTACTTTATTCAAAAACTTTAGACCCCTCCCCCACACCAGTGTGTCTCCCCCACATTACAAATGCTTCTGACGCCTATGGTCAGATGACGAAATCTAAAAAGCCATAAAATAATCCTGATTTTCAAAAAGTTGCATTTAAACAGTACACATGAGAATGTAATGGTGGCATTTAAGTAAACCAGGAAAATCTGGTGTGCAAAGTAGGTGCTCCTAGAACATCGTTTTCATGAGGATGCCAAGGATTAAATAAAAAACTTTAAAAAAAAAAACACTTTTTCTGTGAGGATAGGGCCTGGCTTCACCCAACCAGTCAAATGTTGTTCATGACATTTCTCAAGCCTAATAAAAGTTGTGTACTTCCTGAAATTGACTTTCGATTAATTGAAAAACAATAAAACCAGTTCACCAGAATTATGACACTCCTCACCAAGCTCATCCTGCAAGAAACTGTCAGGTGGGTTTACATATTTCATCGTGGACACGTTTAGCTTCCAGTTGTGTTTGGTGCATTTGACAGTCCTGTGAAAACAAATCTGCCGTTAGCTGTAATCTTGACTGTACAAACGGATTATTCAGGCAGAATGACCTCACCTGCCGTCCAGGTCTTCAATGTCTTTGACGAATAGCCCTCCCTGATGTTTGCACTGATTCTTACATGCTTTAAAGCCACCATTGTTCTTGTATATGATGTAGCAGTATCCATCCTCTGGGTTCTTTTTAAAATTCACTCCTTCTTTGAGTGAGTCCACTTCTTTAGCATCCAGTGATATCACCACTTTTACTATTTGAGCATCCATTATGTCTGAATAAGAAACAGAAGATCAGTGATCAAAGTTCAAGTTTACATTAATTTTAGTTGATCTATTGTTATATGAAAACAGTTTAAACAGAAATACTTCATCTTGCAGCTGTTGTTTTGTAACGTAAATCTCTCAGTATGTATGGTATCAAACTATGGCACCAGTGTTACCCGTGTTATCTCGGTTATAAAACAAAAGGACAGTTTAAAAAAAAACAACTTTTACAATCAGCTTAAACATTATTGAAAGCCCAACATTTTTCAGTCAAGTCGTCTGGACAGTTTCTTTTTTTTGTGCTGAAACGTTTCACCTTTTGTTGTGTGTTTTGTTGTGTGTTTTGTTTTGTGTTTCCTTGACTGATGAAGCCTTCCGGACTGAAGGCGAAACATTTCAGCACAAAAAAAAAAAAAAACTGTCCAGATGACCTGACTGAAAAATGTTGGATTGTATACCTGGATTATTGAGCATGGATTTTGTTATTATTCAAAGTCACACCTCCGGATTAGTCATTTGGACTTTTCAACCGAAAAAAGTGTAATTTTATAATTATGATAGCAAAATGTAAATTTGCATTCAACTGAAATGAGAAAGGACCAGAATAATAAAAAGGAAATACTATAGTTCCACCAACTTGAGCACCTTTATGATCAGTGGGATGCTCAAAAGCAGGGCGGCACAGTGGCTCAGATGGTAGAGCTGTTGCCTCTCAGCAAGAAGGGCACCAGTTCAAATCCCGGTCGGGGTCTTTCTGGGTGGAGTTTGCATGTTCTCTCTGTGCATGCGTGGGTTTTCTCCGGGTGCTCCAGTTTCCTCCCACAGACCAAAAACATACATGTTGATTGGTAACTCTAAATTGTCTCTAGGTGTGTGAGAGAGAGTGAATGTTTGTTTGTCTCTATGTGTCCCTGTGATTGACTGGAGACCTGTCTAGGGTGTTCCCCGCCTCTCACACAGTGATAACTGGATATGGACACCCGTGACCCCCATGACCAGAAAAGGAAGAAGCAGGTAAAGATAATGGATGAGATGCTCAAAATTAAAAATCCAGAGTAAAATGCTAAACAGACTGTATGCATAACTCCTTTCTTACCTAATCAAGATACGCAAAGCTCTTTACAACACGATCTGTGCCCTCATTAACCTCCAACACACTCATCTACACAGCACTCTACTATAACTCCACAAAGATAATCTGAATCTGTAGAGATTAATCAGAGCTTTATCACATTGATAGGACACACATCAGAGGCAATGACGGGTTCAGTGTCTTGCCCAGGGACACTTCAACATGTGTCTGCAGGTGGAATCGAACCCCCAACTCTCCCATTGGAGGACGACTGCTCTAACCACTCAGCCACAGCCGCCTCAGAACAAATTCCAAATACACAATTCCAATTCTAATACGTAGTAACTGTACATAATAATAACTGGTATGTATCTGATACGCATTGGGTATTGGTTCTTAACAGTTATGTATCTGGCACTTATCAGATAAGGTATGTGGTATATACTGAGTCCACGGAAGAGGAGGAGGACCACAACTTTGTTGGTGCAAAGCAGTGAGTTCTGAGGAAGAACAGATTGGGTAACTAGTGGTTTCGGTATGTTTTCTTCGGAAATATGAGATGAAACAATCACCGGTAAAAATAAATCTATTTCAAAAAACAAAAGAATTTCCTAAGCAGAAAGAATGAACTTTTCTTCTCCACATAGAGCTTCATAATTACTTGCAAAGTTTATTACATTGTTATTCTTTAAGTTCTTTAGGCAGTTTTTACAGATGTGACGTGCATATGTTGTAAAAAAAAAAAAAAAAAAAGCCAACTTCTTTCTTTAAAGTCTAATAATTCACACCTGAAAGTGCTAAATTGATCTTTAAACCCATTTAACAATCGCAACATAGATAAATGAAAGATAGTTGCTGATTTTTCTGTTTGCAGTTCAGATAATCCCAATAAACCTGCTGACCTGACTTTGAATGTAGCTCAAAGACATAAAACTGTGCTTCACATTCTTTTAACCACACAGCTCTTCACGTGATGCTGAAGAACCCGACCAGCATCGTTCAAAAGACAGAATTAAATAAAGAGAACAACCAGTCTGCTTAAAATATTTTAAACGAGGTTTGAATTTACTAAAAAAGTAAAGATGCTTTTCTCTGAAGACAAGTAGAAAGGAGAGTTGTGTAAGGGTCCCACTGCCTGCAGCCTGCCTTGCTGATGGCCGCTGATTACCAACACCTGGCGGCCATCAGCCTGATGAGCCTCTCCATCTACTTAAGGCTGCAGTCCGGTGTGATTCAAGGCTGGAGCATATCGCCTCTCATGGTATAGTACTGTTGAGCTAGAAATGTCTAGGTGAAAAGAATTTGTTCACCTTTTGCTCTTTTTTCCAGTTTCCTGGTTCCTTCGTGTTTTTGGATTCTCCTCGTGGCCTGACCCGGATCCCTCGGCCTGTCAGGTATCCCTCGTGCCTCTTTGCCTCCAGTTGCCAGCCTTCCTCGTTTCCCCTTGGACTCTTGTTGGATTCTCCTCTGCTGCTCTCTCCCTGGACTGAAGGACCAGCTCACCTCCTTCGGGTTTGGACTGTAAGGACAAGACGCTCTTCAAACAAACCACTCTGGTCTTCCCCGTTGGACAAACATTAACCTGTCGTTCCTCTTTCCAGGAGCCGCTGAGAAGCAGCGTGTGGACGTTTAAAATTCACTGTACATAATCAAACACTGATCTTTTGTACTTCGCCTGTGTCTGCCTCGTTCTGGGTCTCATAACATCTGGGTTCCCCGCGCACTCCTAACAAGTTGTCCTTCAATCAGAGGTGAAGCAAGTGACAAATCATTATGATGGTGACTCTCACACTCCTCCCTCCCTGTCTGTTTTCCTGCTCGTAGTTTCACATATACAGAATCTATTTGCAGATTTGAGTCAACGATTGAAAATTCCTAGAAATGCTGATTGTTGCTGTGCATTGTGCTTTATGTGTGTGTGATAAAGAAGAAGTCAAACAGGTTTGGCTACATTTATGCATGTGTGGTAACAAAGACGTTTGATAAAAATAAACAAAATGCTTGTTTAAATGTCTGATATAGTTTTTTTTTTTACTTTTGTCTGGGCAAAAATTGATGGTTTGACACAAATTTGTTTTAATAAATGTGATGGATGGACTTCAGATAAGTACAAGTTTATGTAAGTTTGATGCACATCATTTAATATTTCTATCTTAACATGATTCTTGACCTGCCATTGTGTATCTGTTCCTCTCAAACCCAGCCGGTCGAAGCAGATGACCGCTTGTCCTGAACTTGATTCTGCTAAAGGTTTCTTTCTCACGAGGGAGTTTTTCTTTTCCACTGTCACCTTCATGCTTGTTTATTTTTCAATATGAATGTTTCTGTTCAGTGTCCTGAGGCGACCACTGTTCTGACCTGGCGCTACATAAATAAATTGAATTGAATTATGCGCAGGTGAGGTGACCAGAGAGTTTGTGCATTATTTGAAATATCAGAAGAAAAATGAACGTCGTCTCACCAGCGTGTCCTGGGTCTTCCCTGGAGTCTTCTCACAGTCAGATATGCCCAAAGCACCTCCCTAGGGAGAAGTCCAGGAAGCATCCTTACCAGACGCCTGGACCACCTCAACTGGCTCCACTCGATGTGGAGGAGCAGCGGTTCTACCCCGAGTCTCTCCTGGACAACTGAACTTCTCACCCTATCTGTAAGGGGTCTTAGATTTGAATCTGTTATTTTGACTGTGATTAATGTAACAAGTTTTTTTATATATATATATATATAGCTCTGCAGGGTTCAAAACCAGTTTGACCAAGAACTTCAGACAAGTCAGACAAAGTTACTTTTTAACAAGGGTATTTATTTAGCTTATTTTTAGCATAGATTTTTTTATTATTATTTGTCAGGAAAAGGAAACGTAGGCTATTATGATCTGTGGTTTAGAAATTATAGTTGAGTAGCGGCAGAGGTTAAAAGCTGCAGACTGTGATCACAGTTTGTTTTCCAGGTTCAGAGGAGGAGGCAGAGGATTCTGGAGTTTCAGGTACAGTACAAGGAGAGTCCAGGACAGGTTAGTACAGGTGACAAGTGAGCAGGCAGGAAGGTGAAAGATGATAGCATGATGGCTCAGTGGTTAGTACTATGCCTTACAGCAAGAAGGTCCTGGGTTCAATCCCTGGTTGGACCTGGGACCTTTCTGTGTAAAGTTTGCATGTTCTTCTCGTGCTTCCGTGGGTTTTCTCCGGGTACTCCAGTTTCAATTCAATTCAATTCAGAAATACTTTATTAATCCCAAAGGGAAAATATTTGTTGTTGTAACTCATTATCCTCATTTCATTAAGAGACGTTATAGATACTGATGGCTGTAGACAGGAAGGATCTCTTGTAAAGGTCCATCCCATAGTGGATCCTAAGAAACTGGCTGCAGATGCCGTCCGATCCATCCACCCAGACTCGGCTGGCCTCTCGGTTCCCCCGGGCTGTAGGACCACCCGAATGCCGAGCAGAACTCCTCCCAGAGCGATGGTCACCCCTCCCAGCAGTCTGCCAAGGTCCTCGTCACTGTGGACAGCCAACTGTAGGTGCCGAGGGACGATCCTGTCCTTCTGCTGTCGTGAGCCGTGTTTCCTGCTAGTTCCAGGATTTCAGTGGTCAGGCACTCGAGCACAGCTGGCAGGTAGATGAGAATGCATCCACAGAACATTCTTTTCAACTCATTTAAGATTTGGGGCTGTAGTTGAGATATTATTTGAGCTTTTGTTAATCAGCTACTGTTGGTTGTAGAAAACTGCCTTGTTGACATGGTTACACATCATTACAAATTTCCAAAAATAAATAAGTTTCAGTAAAAATCATTCCAGCTGCACAATATCCGACACCAGAGGAAACAATCAGCCAAAAAATGTGATTTACATCCACAAAAAGAGGAATTAGTTTCCAAAAGCAAAATCTCAGAATGAACGTAACAGAGCTACTCCAACATGCAGCCACCTTGAGCTGCGCAATAATAATAATAATAATTTCCTCCCACAGATCAAAAATGTTAGGCTGCCTTCAGGCCCAGGCCTCCCTTCAAAAGAGATCTGTGACCTCAATGGGATTTGCCTGGTTAAAAAAAAGGTTAATAAATAAATCAATTAACCTGAGCCAAGCAGACTTCCCCTGTGCATGGATGGAGTCCTGCCAAGTGCACAGAGGTTCACTGGAGAGTGCGCAGAGGTGCCAGCAGATGAACAGAACCAGCAGGACTGACACCATATGGGAGATTTGTGAAGCAGTCAGAGGCAGGCCGAGGTAAGTATTGTTTCAGCTGTGTCATCCAGGATTTAAAACACGGAACTACAGAACAGAAGCTTGAACTTCACTGTGTGTAGACAAACGGGCCAACAAAGAATGACGCCTAACGGAGTTAACTCTAAATAATCAGTTCCCAGAATATGTTGGAAATAAGCCTCTTCTACTTCCACGTCAAATTTGAGGTCAATATAGGTTGACTAGGGGGCGGCTGTGGCTGAGTGGTTAGAGCAGTCGTCCTCTAATGCGAGAGTTGGGGGTTTGACTCCACCAGCAGTCACATGCCAAAGTTTCCCTGGGCAAGACACTGAACCCCTCATAGCCTCTGATGTGTGTCCCATCAGTGTATGAATGTGATAAAGCACTGATTACTCTGTTTAGAATGATTTGTTTAATTAGCTTTGTCGAGATCTAGTAGAGTGCTTTATGAATGGGTAAATGAGGCATAGATTGTAGTGTAAAGTGCTTTGAGTGTCTTGAAATAAGATAGAAAGGCGCTATACAAGTACAATCCATTTACAGTCCATCTCAAAGTTTGGTTTGAAGAAAGCAACTAAAGCTTAACAAAGCAAACAGCTTCATGTTTGTCTTGTTGTTTCACACACACTCTCTGTCTACAAACCGGATTCCAAAAAAGTTGGGACACTAAACAAATTGTGAATAAAAACTGAATGCAATGATGTGGAGGTGCCAACATCTAATATTTTATTCAGAATAGAACACAAATCACAGATCAAAAGTTTAAACTAAGAGAATGTATCATTTTAAGGGAAAAATCTGTTGTTTCCAAATTTCATGGCGTCAACAAATCCCAAAAAAGTTGGGACAAGTCCATTTTTACCACTGTGTGGCATCCCCCCTTCTTCTTACAACACTCAACAGACGTCTGGGGACAGAGGAGACCAGTTTCTCAAGTTTAGAAATAGGAATGCTCTCCCATTCATGTCTAATACAGGCCTCTAACTGTTCAATCGTCTTGGGCCTTCTTTGTCGCACCT